GTGCACAATTGCAAGAAATCAGGGGAGTAAAAAAAGAGAGGAAATAAAAGAAAAGCGGGTCAGAGCAAGGGCAAGACCACAGAGAAATGCCCTGGACAGCTCACATGCTTCTCTCCATTCTTGAGTCTTTTTCTTTTCTTTTCTTTTTATATATATATATATATATATATATATATATATACAAGCACTGGGTACAGTCAGAAGCACGGGAGGGTGAGAGAATTCACCAGAGCCAGAGCGGGGGACAGAACAGGCAGACTGATGAAATACACTGCTGAGGGGAGCAGCGGGTGCAGCAGGAGAGGTCTGCACGCCACGTGGGATCCTCACCGGTGGCCAGGGATCGAACCGGTGCTGCAGAGGCTGCAGGGTAGCTTCGCAGCCCAGCGCTCAACCGCTGCGCCACCGGGGAGGCCCCTTTTTCTTTTCTTTCTTCATTTTAGCACAGGGTGCATCCTGCCATAGATGTTTCATGGTCCCTCACCATCCTCCCTCCATGACACCTCCCTCCCCAGAGCAAGGCAGCACCCACAGAGCCGTGGCCAGCAGCAGGCTACATGCCCACACTTGGGCAGGAGTGGGAAGGGACAGAGGGTGGAGCCGAGCCCTTCAATGCTGGCTACAGCAGGGAAATGGGAAAGGAACGCTGACTCCGGGCCCTGGCTCTGCCCGCAGCACAGTCCACTGCCCCCAGCAGGCTGCTGCATCCTGTGTATTGTGCCCTTTGGGGGCCTGGCCAGCCTCGTGGTTATCTGCAAGGACTAGGAGGTGCAGGGACAATTTTTGTCTTTGAGTGAAAGATATGCCCAGGGTCCTATGACCCAGCCCTGGTTAAGCTCCCTTCAGGCCCGAGAGCCTGGGCACAACCCAACCAAGAGATGCCTTCAACCTCTACTGAGCCCAGATGAGACTTGATTTACGGGACCACACAAATGTGGGAAAGAGTTTAGATCAGATTTCAGGGGCACTTCAACTAGCTTTGTGCGACACCTACTGTATAAGAAACTGGTTCCCTCCTGGAGACTTGGGCTATTCGGGTGCTGAGAGGCTCCACTACCTTGTCCAGAGGGAGTCAAGGGCCTGCCTGCTCTACCTGCACCATCTCAGGAAACCATTGCGGCATCTCCCAGGCAGACACTACTTTGTTATTTCCATTTTAAGATGAGGAAAATAAGGCTGGAAGACTGGAAATAACAAATTGCCAAGGTCGCACAGCTGGTTGATGGGCACTGCACTGCCCATGCTCTCTACCACAGGGAAGCACACCCCATCCTGGGAGACACAGATGGCCCAGAGAAGGGTCTTGGCTTTTCTGGTGCCTCTGCACCTCTTCTTCCAGGAAGAACTGTCCACTCCCAGCGAGCTTCTCTCCCAACTCCGGAGTCCACACAGTGACCAGAGAGAAGCCCTAATCTGGTGGCTCCCCACGAGCTCGTGTGGCTCCTCTTCCTGTCCTTGGCCCCCAGCCTTTCGGTGTGCTAAAAGTAGCACTGACCAAATCAAGGTCTAAGCCTGGGCCAGGACTATTTTGACTCTGTCCTCAGGAATCATCTGGTCTGAGGCGTGGGCACGCTGGACTACTCCTATGTGCTCTTAGACATGGTGCCAGGAATGTTCTGGCCCACACACCTGTCCCCAAAGCCAGGCCAAGTGCTGCTACTCACCCCTTGGGCCTCCACCACGTGACTCCCAGGACACTGGTCCCAGGAAAGTTGGGCAGTGGGACTTGACAGGGGGAGGATTCAAGGCTTATATCCTTCTCCAAAGAGACCGCCTGCCACTTTGGGTGACTCTGTCTCTTATCCCTCCCCCTTAAATGGAGGCATGTTAGCCTGTGTGAGCTCACTGAGAATAGAGGCCCACACCCATGGCCTCTTTTTTTTTTTTTTTTAATTTATTTATTTATGCATACAAGAGCTGGGGTACAGGCCAGAGGTGCGGTCACAGATTAAAGTATTCATCAGAGACAGAGTGGGGAACAGAAGTGGCAGATTGACTGAAATACACTGCTGAGGGGAGCAAAGACAAGACAGGAGAGGTCTGCTGTGCCATGGGTCACTTCCTTGGCTGGAGATCAAACTTGTGCTGCAGTGGCTATGGCTAGCTTCATAGTGCTGCTTATTAACCCCTTGTACCACCAGGGAGGCCCACGGCCTCTTTAGAAACAGCAAACAATCTCCTTCCAGGGAGGCTGAAAGATTTCCTTCCCTGAGGGCCTTTAGTAGTGGAAAGATTTGCATCTGACCCACCTGAATACAAAGCCCACCCTCCTCCCACACCCAACTGGTGCTCAGCATGCACAGAAGCGCTACCCTTTGGGGGGAGTGGGTTTCTCTCTCTCTCTCTCTCAGCTGAGGTATCTCTCACAAGCTGGTGGCTTCCCCACCTTGCTGTGCTTGGGGAACAAGTCAACTAGCTCCTTCTCTGCTATACACACAACAGCCTTGAACCCCACGCTGCCTGTTACAGGTGTGGGATGCCAGAGACCCCATGTGTAACAAGACTGTCCCCACCTGGGAGCAGCAGTCACCTCAGATCCTTCCTCACTTCCCCTGGGGTTACATCCCCATGAACCCATCACATGATGGAAAATATCACAAGTTGAAAATGCTGGCCACAAAACACTGTGGGGCGTCAGTTGTTTATCCCCTTGCTGGAGTGGCCGGCTGGGAGCCACTGCCCAGCATCACAGGAGGGCGTCACGCTGAATAGTGCTAGGTAGGGGGAAAAAAGATCAAAATTCAGAGTATGTTTTCTACTCAGTGCCTGTCACTTTCAAACCATCATAAAATAGAAAAAACCTCGAGTGAAGCCACCGTAAATCGGGCACATCTGTAGAGCAGGGAGACACTTATTACCATATTATTCAGGTATTCAGGTGCATGGATGACTAAATTTTCCTCAGGGAGCTGGGAAGGGCCTCACAGAGGATTTAGACTGTGAAGGTCTTCTCAGAAGTTCAGAAATACATTTGGCGGAAAAGTAGGAGAAAGCATTCCCGTGGAGGGAATGAGGGAAAGGGGCATGAAGGGAGCTCATGGGGCCTGGAAGGCCAAAACGTTGCCAGATTTTTGCCGTCTTCTCAGACTTTCTGGCCATGGATGGGGTCTGCTGGTCTCCTGGTCATGATGGGGAGACTGACACTCCCCAGAGTGGGGGAGCAGGGCTGAGGCACCCCATTCCCAGAAAGGGTCAGAAGACAGTGTCCCTGCTTCTCTGCCCCGGGGGCTGCATGCTGTCTCCCCAGCCTCCTGCTGCTGCTTCCCAATCAGGATGAAGTTGGCTCCTGTGACACTGATGTGCCTTCTTCTTGTTAGAATCTTAATATCGTAGGACTGGAGAGTCCCAGCAGCCCTGGCCTGGCCTTCAGGGTCGGAGGTGTGTATGAAAACAACACCTGATCCTAATTGCTTCAGTCAGGGCATGCAGAGGCCACTGAAGAACTTGCTTTCCTTTGTCATTGATAACGAGGGAGCTACCAAGGCTGTTGATCTCGAAGTCATTCCTTAGAGGGCTTTAAGCTCCTTGCCGTCACCCTCCAGTAATAAGTGTATGAAGAGCAGCCTCTTATTGAGCACTTTACACCTCTAATTTCATTTCATCATTAGATGACTCTGTGAGGTAGGGTTAAGTGTCAGACCTGAGCTCAGAATGTGAGACCCAAACTTTGGGATTTTAGAAAGCCAAGAACTGCTTTCTAATACCATCTCACTCATGAAGAATGATCCTGGCCTGAAGAGGCTGGATGGCTTGGCTCTCTTCCCTAAGTGTCCCCCAAGTCTCCCTTCTAGCTTCCGAGGCAAGGCACAGACACACATCACACCGTTACCACATGTCTGCCAGGTGCTGTGTGAGGAGCCTGGGAAAGATGCATAGACCACTTGTCATGTGGCTCACCACCCAGGGGGACCCAGCGGGACCCCTTCTCACTGCCAACCCAGACTCCCCCATTCTTTTGTGACCTGTTCAGCTTTCTCTGCACTCTGGCTGATACCCATTTCTTCCTCCCAAGCTTGTATGATGTCCACAACCCAGCCACAGCACCACCCACTTGGTTTCTACCTCCCTGCACCCAGCAGTTGTCTATATATAGTTTGCACATGTATTAGTTTGCACTGGAGATTTATTAATAAGGCAAATTAATAAGACACTGTCTTGGCCCTCAGGAAGTGCAGCCTAATAAAGAGAGACCAGCGTGTCTCAATCCATGGACTGAAGAGTGAGGGGATCCAGCAGTCCCCGAACACTAGTTCTTCCTCACTCACCCTAAGAGACCACTCTGTCTTATCAAGCAGCATCATGAAGTAATGGAAAGATGGGTTCCAAACTCATCTGGGGGACACTGGTTTCTTCATCTGTCGGGTGAATAATAACAATCCCTAATCTGTGTGCCCTACAAAGTTTCAGTGATATGCCTTATTAAATCAAATTAAGTGCTTGAAAATACTTTACAGGTTATAAAGTCCTATACAAGTAGTAGTTATCATTATATTGATCTTCTCACTCCTGGGAGGTCTAGCATAAATCTGGGCACACAGTACATATTCAGAAGTGGTTAATTTAACCTGGATTGATTCATCTACCCTATTTACAGTACCACTTTCTGGCATTCTAGAGCTTTTGGTGCCAATGTAAATCCAAACACTAACAATGCCTGCCCTGCCCACTGGGGGTGACAATAAGGGCCGTGAGAAGGCTGTGAAAGCCTCTGGGAAGCTACAGTAATAAACTGCTGACTCATGGGAAACCACCTTGGTCTGCCATCAGGGGGGCTGCACTGAGGGCTGGATGGCCCTGAATGTGGAGCCATAGGCATGGACGAGCTTCCCTCCAAGCCTAGGCCCACTGATCTTGGGGAACAGACATTACACTTGGTCATTTTGAGTTTCCACCCCTGAGTCTGCTGGCCCAGGAGAGTGCCTGAGACATGGACATGGTCTCTAGGAGTCTCTAGACCACCATATACCATCCCCTTATTAGCCCTTCATCTCTCATTCCAGCACCCCTACCCCACGGAGGATGAGAAGAGGCAGATCGCAGCCCAGACAAACCTCACCCTCCTGCAAGTAAATAACTGGTGAGTGAGCATCACCTACCTATAGGCCCTCGACCCAGGGGTCACGTGCTCAGCAGAGAGAGATAAGAGACTGGAATGCCCAGCCCTGCCCCAATCTCAGCCCAGCTACCACACAGGCCCTCCCCTTTGGGTTAGAAGCCAAAAGCAAGACTCTACAAAGGCGCCTAGAACTTCATCTGCAGCTTCTCAGCGCCCTCTGCTGGGAAATTGTGGCAGGAACAATACTGGGAGTTTCTGACTAGAAAGCCCAGCCTCACCTGCTGACACTGCAGAGATGCAGGAACACCTGCACCCAAGGAGTGGAGAAGTCGCCAGTGGTCAACTGGTCCACCCCCCACCATCCACGTAAATGAACTGAAACATTCCGCAAATCTGGGAGTGGGAAGGGGAGAAACAGTGAGCCACTGCGACCCCACAGGGATCTCATTTTCCCCTTCGCTGTATCTGGCTGGACTATCACAGATGGCTCAGTCAGGTATGGCGGGGTGGGAGTGGACCCAGGACTCAGGGCCCCCGCTCCAAGCTCACAGCCCTCTGGAGAAAATTCAGAGGTCAATACCCTTGACTAAGGCTCTTCCTTTCTGTGTTCAACCCTGACATGTCTGGAGCTGAGGTTTCTGACTCCACTCACACATTCATCCCATGAAACCTTGGGGTCACCAAGCCCCCTTGTGATTCCCTGAGCTCTTCAGAGTCCAGGGCTCCTCTCCTTGCTGACCTTTCACACCTAGGTCAGAACTGTCTGCTCTGTGATGGCTCAGCGCAGAGAGTCTGGGAGCAGCACTGCCCTCTCCATACACCCCTCCAATCCCACCCCACCCCCACATGCATGCATCCACTTGCCCCCAGGGGGTGACTAACCAGACCTCCACCTTCACCCCTGGGCAGGTTCATCAATGCCCGGAGGCGCATTCTGCAGCCCATGCTTGATGCCAGCAACCCAGACCCTGCCCCTAAAGCCAAGAAGATCAAGTCACAGCACCGGCCCACCCAAAGATTCTGGCCCAACTCCATTGCCGCTGGGGTGCTGCAGCAACAGGGCGGTGCCCCAGGGACAAACCCTGATGGTGAGAACTGTGTGTACTCCACCCTGGGGGCTGGTGGGGACCTCCTGGGCCTCCTTTGGGATCCTGGGCTTCAAGGGGCACAGACACTTGCTTCCCAATAGTCACCCTACCTGATCTCCATGGAAGGATGTGTGCAAAGCCCAAAAGAAGGGTTGCTCGGTATCTATTTTAACAAACCAAGTGGAACCTCACGAGTGGGAGTCATGGTCATCTGAGTGGAGAACTGCTCAAGCAGAACCCCCTCCACACTCCCACACCCATCCTCAGTTCCTTAGCACCCATCGGTGCCTGCGCAGCTCCCCAGAGCCGGGCCATCTATAAATACCCAGGCAGGCAGCTGGCTTGTGAACGGAGGCCAGGAAGAGCTTTGTTTCCCCAGCTTCTCCATCACACCCTCCATATACACTTTTCTAATTGCCGGTCGCCTGGTGCACAATGAATAATTCAATGAGCCAGACATTTTATAGCTTGGCGCGTGAAGATAGCTCTGTGTGGGAAGTGGAGTGGAGGTGTGCATGCGTGGTACAACCTTCATGTATCCGTGCATCTCTGTGGTTGAGACCAGGTTCCTGTATGACGGGCATGCCTCTTTGGAGATACAGGGGAAATAAACAGAATTTGAGCTAGAGCAACCGAGGAGAAAATCTCAACTCCATCATGGGTCACCTTGAGACTGTGTGAGACTCAGCATCCTCACCTTTAGCGTGGGGATAGTAATGCTGACCTTAGAGAGCTCTTAGAAGGTCAACATTTCATGTCAAAAATTCTCAGGAAATAGAAACTGGGGGGCTGCTGTTTGGGATGGGTCGGGGTGGGGGTTAGCAGTGAATGGATGGGGAAGCGTTGTCCAGCCTCGGAGCTCACCGCTCCCCCACAAGTCAGTCTATTCAACTGAGTCCAGCACGGAGGCTCCAGGACCTGACCCTTGCCTTCCTCTCTCATGTAGGTTCCATCAACCTGGACAACCTGCAGTCCCTGTCCTCAGACAACGCCACCATGGCCATGCAGCAGGCCATGATGGCCGCACACGATGACTCGTTGGACGGGACAGAAGAGGAGGATGAGGATGAAATGGAAGAGGAGGAGGAAGAAGAACTGGAGGAGGAGGCCGATGAGTTGCAGACGACGAATGTCAGCGACCTGGGCTTGGAACACAGTGACTCCCTGGAGTAGCCGGCAGCCCAGATGGCGCTGATCACCGAGAAGAGGCGCGTGGTCAGGGGGCTTCAGGGTGGTGGGGAAGGGGACGTGGGCAGGCAACACTAAGAACGTTGGGCCCTAGCTTCCGCGGATCAGTAGCTTGAAGAAATCCAGAGGAGACACCTGCTCCTTCCCAACCACCAAGCTTCAGCGAGCACCCGCCCCTCTTCCCCAGAACTGCAGACGACTCTGGTGGGGCTGGTCAAGCGACCTGCACAGAAAGGCAGGAGTGAGGTTTGGACTCACCAAGCCCCTGAGGACAGACGGCACCCATGGGCCCCCCCCACTGGAGGACTTGAGCTGTGCGCAAGCCCTGCACTGTGAGGCGGATCGGTGCTGCTCACAGTGAGCTTTTGCCAGGGGACAGTTAGGAGGAAAGGGAGTGACATGGGGGGTCTGGAGTCCATCCCCCAGAAAGTTCTCAGCTCCTTTGAGAGACATTCAAGGGCAGGAAGTAGCCCAAAGCCTAACTGGTGGCCAAGGCGGAGGGACTGAGGCATCACAGCTTGCAGATCAGGGTGGGACCTGGGTTCCGGTTCACTCCTCCAAGGCCCTGGCTCTGGGAACAGGCAACTATGGACTTGGGGGAGAGGGATGGGAGCCACCAGAGTCGCCTCCTCTCTCTCTCCCCTGGAAACAAATTGTAAGCTGGTGGACTCACATTGTAGGATGGTAAGAGGGTTGGCTCCAAGTCTCAAGGAGACCGCAGAACCTGGGCTGGCAGCCACACCACGGTGACTTTGGGGACTGCAGCTGTCCCTAGATGGCCACAGAACTCACCTCCTGTAACAGCAGGACAATGGTGTCTTAACCCAGATGTTCCAGCCCGGGGTGGAGCTCCTCGGAAGGTCCAACCCTCCCTCGACCATCGGAGAGGGTGGAGCCAGGTGAGCTTGGAATCTGCCCATCCCTCAGGTCCCCCAAGGCCGTTCCTCTGTTCCTGGGCTGGCTCCATCAGCCTCCATCCTCTCTTCTCCATTCTATCCTTCAGAGAAGGCAGAAGTAACGTTGGAAAGAAGCAGCCAGCCCAGTGGGAAGCCAGGGGTTGGAAACGGTGCTACATCCCTCTTCCCGTTGATTTCCCAAAAGTGGGGGCGGGTCCAGAGAATGGGCACCCAGGAGTCACGCGGTGCCCCGCCCCACCTGCCCCCTGTGGTCCTGCGCACCGAGGCGCGCCAGAGGATGGGGCACCGAGAGGAGGAGGCTTTCCACATCTGCCCTGACACACACCCTCCCACCCTGGCCGCCTCCTTCCATTTTCTCCCGCCCCCACGGCTGTGAAGGACAGGACTGCTCACACGTGTGTTTTCCATTGGATTTAATTTAATGGACTTGCAGTTTCATTTGTAAATTGTACATTGGCCATCTCCTTCAATGGCAGGATGTGAGTGGCTACCTGGCTCACCTTGAGGGGGCCCTCGGGGCCCTCTGGGGCTTCCCCTCCCCCATCTGGTTGGGGTGGAGCACAAGGATGGTGGCTTTCTGAGGTCTCCCCGAAATGAATGTATTTCTCCCTCAAAAGAGCTGATATTTAATGTTTTAATAGGGATTTTTGAGAAACAAATAACCTTATTTATAATCTGGGTGATCCAATCATTTTTTACTCCCTTTTGATGCCATACGTAGAGGAAAGTCTAGCTTTTTTGGCGTGAGACTTTTGCAACATGCAGTGGGACAAGACACATTTCCTTTCTGGTTCTTCTTCTTCGCGCGTGCACACACACACACACACACTCACCACCGTGAACAGACACCCTCCTAGCCCAGACACACTTGCACACACGTGCCCACATCTCCTCCTCCTAGTCCCTCCACCTGCGTAATGTTATGCAACCTCCTTCTGATGTATCCACCAAACCAGTACTGAATGTGGCCGAGTTTTCAGTAAATCTTATTACCTACAGTAATCCTGGTGCACGATTCTCTTTTTCTGTGGTTCGTGGGTGGTGGGATAGGGAATCAGAGAAAACGTGGAGGCTTCAGTTATGCCCCTTAATGACTGCCCGAGGAAGGAGACCAGTATGAGGACTTTCTGGGTGACCTCAGTTTACCTGTCTGGAGAGTAGGCGACCGCTTGCCACATTTGTGTCTCGCTTTAAGACAAAGAGATTAGACTTGAAGAAGCTCTGTACTGCCCTCTGCTGACTATTTTCCGCCATAGCAGCGCCACTCTGAATGTGGTTCCCTGGCTTCCACCACGCTCCACCATCCTCAAAGGTCTTTGCTTTTCCCATCTCCAGCCTAGGCTCCAAAGGTTTTCCTCATCACAGCTGGTGCCACCCTCCCACAGCCCTCACATGCACACCCTCACCTTGTTCCTCAGGTGAAAAGACCCAGGAAGAGGGAAAGAGAGGTAATCTTGACTTGTGGTTACACAGGCAGTCTCCTGGGCCACCTCTCCCTCACTGCCCTTACACCTGGAGAGCCCTGCACCCACAGAAGAGATGGCCCCTCCAGGTCTCAGAGAAAGTCTCAAGATCTGCACTAAGAACCTCACCTCCCAGAGCCAGCCAAGAAGACGCCAGTCTCCCAAAGCAGTATTTTACAAGGAACATGCAACTGAAAAATATGCTATCCTAAATAAATAAATAAATAAATAAAATTCCATAGCCAAAGTAGTATAGAATGAACTACCTGTTATATTTTGCCAGTGGAGTTCCATAAGACACATGAGTAAAGTCACTGAGAAGTCCTGCAGGAAAGAAACCTGTTTCAACTGCTCCCCAAGTTTATTTGTCTTCTCTTTTTCAAGAACTATCTAATCACTTATACGAGTATGCCACAAAACACACTTCAGGGAGTGCTAGTCTAAGAAATTCCTGAGTAGCCTGTCCCGACCTCTTCTACCCCTTTCTAAGTTCTTCTATCAAGTTCTGCCATCTTTTTGACCATGCTGCCAACTACAAGGGGGCTCCTAAATCATTTGAGATGTAGGTGATTGTGTTCGGAGGAGAAAACAACTTCTTTCTGCCCTTGACCCAAATCCTATCCAACTCCAGAGATGATGAGTCACAATCCCTGTGGAAATAAGAGAGATGGGATAATGGTGGAGGTGGTGGGGGGGAGGGGGGCAGAGATTTCCTTTATCCACCCCCAAGATGGAGTACTGTTATCAATCAGGGCTGTGGGAACTGCTCTGATTGCTGGCCCCACATTCGTCTCCTAGGGAAGCTCTTTCAGGTTTGAGGCTCCCCAGTCCTGGGAGTTGGTGGCCAGAGCTGACCTCCTTCTGCTACCTTGGACATGGCCAGAGGGGGCAATGTTCAGCTCAGAGACATTCATGCAATATGTATTTATTAATCAACTACTAGGTCCCAGGCGGTTTAAATGCTGAGGATACAGCTGTGATCACAAAATCTTACTTTCAAGGAGTTTACATTCAGGTAGAAGATTATGACTGAAAGTGTGGGGGTAACATCCCTGTAGTAGTTAAAATATGATCTCATCCTAGGACAGTGACCTCAACCTTGACCATTCAAAGTTGCAAACAAGGCACAGCTTGTCTCTGTGCCGATCTCATTTAGCCCCTTTGCAAATTAAATGCATCTCATTAAACCAAACCCATTTAGGACAATGCCCCTCAGGTGTGCAAATCTTAGTGCCTCTTCCATTTTAAAACAATCCAACATGGGGCCAGATCAAATTCAGCCTGCAGACATGTTTGATTTGGACCAATAGTATTTTTCTCATAATTTGTGCCAACATTTACAAGTCAGAAGATTGCACATAAAAATTCAGATTCCTGGTTTCACTTGAAAAATCAGGCGATCAGGCATAGGGACCTGTATTCCCACATGACCACAACAGGATGTAATTGAATCACTGCCATTCCTTAGGATGTGCTCACCAGGTCTTCGTGACATTGGCCATTCGTGTGGTCCCCTGATGCTGACACTAAAGGTCACTTGCCAATTATTATCAGGCCTCACTATTTGCTTGGCTGATGGCTTGGTTATGCTTCCCCCTTCTCTTACTACTTCCTTTCTTTTTTAGCCTTTCCCTCCACCATTTGAGAAGTTATTTTTAACTAGAGAAATATTACCCATTGCTCCATCAAGAGTGAGAAAATCAAACTATCCAAAGGGCTCTGCCTTTGGGAAGGAAAAAAAATTAAAAAGAACATACTTGCTTGTGGCAGTGGCGAGAATGCTCCCTTTAGTTGCAAAGAGTCCATGTGTATTACATCCAAACATCCTCACTTCCGTGCTACCTGTGACCTGGCTTGATGGACATGAGCCTGGGGGCATAAACACCACCAGGATTGCTTATGAAGTATGCCATGACGGCCCACAACCAGCTTTTCTCAAGGCAAGAATCATGAAGACTTTAAGAAACACAGCTCCTAGAAAATAGATTTCAATTGCCTTTACAAGTCCCTTATTTACAACTGCTCCCTTGAATATTTTTCTGTAGCAACTACAAGCCCATGAGCCCATGGTTCATTCATGAAACTTTCACAGGTGCCCACGATGTGCCTGGCCTCTGTGGAGGACACAGGGTAATTCAGTGTTGCAAGCCAAGGCTCCCTGAGAACTGGGAGGGGGGCCGCTGATCGCACACACTCTGTGCCTTTCCTCTTTGGTGTCTTATTTGCATCCCACCGACAAGGCAGATTTTATTACACCACTTTCAAGTGTATCTTATACTTTTATATTTCTCAGCCTCTCTCTGGGCCAATCTCATTTAGCCCCTTTGCAAATTAAATGCATCTCATTAAACCAAACCCATTTAGGACAATGCCCTTCAGGTGTGCGAATCTTAGTGCATCTTTCATTTTAAGACAAGTGTTTGATTTATTTTTCATCTCATTACACTCTTTAAAATTATGTGCATCTCATTACACTCAGTGCACTGAGACGACTTATTTCAGGTGTAGACATTACACCCTGTATTATCAGGCAAGAATTTTTTTTTTCATTTCATTACAAGCCTTACAATTTATGTACATCTCATTACAATCAGCCATTTAAGACAATTCCCTTCAGTTGTGTATATCTCATTATACCTTTTCATTTTCAGATTTTTTTTCTTCCTGTTACACCCAAGCATTATTCAGGGAACTCTTCAGTTGTGCAAATCCCACATTCACCTGTTATTTTGTGAATTCTGGGTGGCTGCCTCCTCTAAAGTATTGCAAAATTTTTATTACACCAACTGATGTAAGGCCCCCTCTGCCCACCTGCGGCCCTCCCCTGACTCTTCTGCAGGGAAAGGAAGGAACTGGGTTCCCCAGTTTGGCTGAGACTCTGTGGGTAACTTCCTTCGCACACAAGAAACATCTAAATTAGCTTTCTCAGTTACACATTGAGGGGGTTGAAGGAGATGGTCCTTAGTTCGCCTTCAGTTGATAGTCAATGAAACTCTGGTCCTGTGGACAACAAACAGCACAGTGGCTTCCCAGCTGCTCCTGGGGGTGCTGCTACCCTCTGGGCAGCCCCCACCTCTGCCAGAGAAGCTGAGATTGATGTCATTGCCCAGGCTTCCAACAGGCTGCTCCATACTTCTGTTGCTCTTTTGAGGGGATGACCCTGTGCCCATGTGGGGTCTCATTTTGAAAGGAAGTGCATCACTCTGCCCTCTTGTGACAGAATCTACTCAACATCTCCAGGCCCAGTGGCATCTTCATCTCTCCTCCAACCCCCATCCCAGAAGTCCCAGCTGGGGTGCACCTCAGAATTGCTGAGCAGACCTATGGTGTTGCAGGCACCGGGTTCCACTAAATCATAATCTCCCAGGATGGGGCCAAGGTAGGTGCTTTGTAAATAGCAACCCAGAGGTTCTGAACCACTGCTGCTCCCCAACCTGTTTTCAGAAAAAAATCTGCAGCACAGTCGCTCTGAGCTGCAAATTCCTTGCTCTCTCAGCTTCTCAGGATGTGCCTGCTTCCTAACAAGAATCCAAACTTAGAAAAAGATCATTTCTTGGTTCTGCAAAGGGCACAAAGAAAGAGTAAATCTATATGCCCACGCCAGAGGAGTCCCATCCAGTGCTGTAAATCGTCATCTCCTTGTTCCATACGCCTCCAGGCTTGGGGACCCCATGCCACCAGGGGAGAAAGGCAAAATGCTACACAAAGCTATTTGAACCCCTGATTTCTGCCTCCTGGAGACATCTGGGAGGAGTTGAAACTCTCCAGAATGTTTCCTTGTGGTCTTCCAGGCTTACTTAATAAGAGGGAGCAGCGCTTCAGGTCATCTGATGCCTTGCTCAACCTCTGCACTCTGGGGAAGACCAAGCTCATGTGCCCACCTCTGAGGCCTGTGAAGCACGTGAGGCTCCTCAGAGTGTGTCTGGGGGTGGCCTGCGTGTCCCCTCTTCCCTCCCTCTTCCTGGATCCTTGGGGATAAAGACAGAATCTCTCCTCCAAGCACTAACCTAAACCTGACTTTTCACGTACCCTCCTCCATGATCCCCCTTGAATGAAACTGCTGAGAAATCAGATGACCCAGTTCCCACTTCTGCCCTTTGTCTTCTTGTCCAAACCTGAGGCGTCTGGTTCTAGAATCTGCAGGTGCCTGGGCTCATTGGGCTACCACTAGGCAGGATTTTGTGAGAATAAAGGATAGGGGTAGAGCTGATTTTAGGGGAACTGACTGTGCCCTTCTTGCTTTGCTTTGTTTTTCTTTTTTTTGTTGTTGTTTTGTTATTTTTTAGGTCTTCTATGTCGATTGGATTGAAAAAAATGATCAGGTCCTCAGGGCTAAAGGGGGGTCACACGGTCCAGCTCTTTCTCTACATTCCTCAAAGTTTGCTAGTAAAAATAAAAGCCACAGTAAACTGAGTACTGAGCACATATGCTAGATAATGTAAATCAATCCAAATGACCCTGGAATTACAGGTATTTTGACTGATATCGGTATTCCCATTTCTAAAATGAGGAAGCTGGGACTCTGAGAAATTAA